GTGAGACTGAGTTGGTGAGCACGAGGTGCTGGTGTGCTTGGGGGGCAGGGGAAAGGGAATAAGCAGTGTAAAGCGGGTGTTAAGGGTGACCCCATTCGACCTATGACGGCATAGAGAAGATAAAAACTGAGTTGACCCTTTGAGGCCAAGAGAAGTGCACCCCCAGCTGCATGCTTTGACAACCACAACAGCCAATCAGAGTCGTCTGCGCGCACAAGTTGTCTACGGAGGCTGGTGCCTGCCTTCCTTCAGCCTCCTGATGTGAACTGCAGCTCCAATATCGCGAGTGGCGAAAGGTAAGTCAAGGTAAGCTTCCCTCCACACACTCTCTCTATACCACCTCACAAGTTTTGATCACCCTCTTCCTCACCCCACCTCAATCCTACAGCTACCGCGCTCAGGTGCCCTCCCTAGCTATGGCTACTGTCTCTCTCTTCTTCCCTGGCTGCCGCTGTCTTCTCCTTCCCTGGTGCCATTCTCTCCTGCCTCCCTCCAGCACTGTGGGGACAGCTCCAGCAGCGCACAGCAGAATCAATGAGCCGACTGGGGCAGGGAACTCTTTTCTAAAGTTCACTAGGTCTGGCCTACCTCAGTTTGCCTCCTTGAATGGTGGGGATTTCTCCATCTGGATGGCCCAGATTTGCTGTTGGCCAAATGTGCACCAGATCTGTGGCCGTGTTTGACTTGAGAAATCTCTGACTCTTGACCTACTTTTCTTCTCCCGAGTTGGGCCTGACTCCTGATTTCCAAAAGTCAACTGCCTCGCATGGGGCCACAGGCCGCCTCATTTGAAACTGGACCCTGTACATGTTGACCCAAGGACTTCTCTCAGACCCCTCTAGAACAGGGGTCATGACTTTTGACCCCTGAATCTAGGCTTAGACGGGACGTTACAACCCTCTACTGTGCCCGCGTGGATTCTGAACGGAGTTCTTTGCAATTTGGACCATTTCTCGATTTGTGTGTCTCATCCTTAATTGCACAGAGGTCATGCTAATCTCCCTTCTCTGCATTGTTCCAAATGAATGGTTAGAACTTAGAAGTGAAAGAGTAGTTATGTATTCTCAATTATTGCCAGGCAATGCCAGCAGCAAAGAAAGGCGAAGAGCAGACGGCCTCACAAGCAGCTCATGTGATAGAGGGAACAGCATTGATCTGGAATAGTGAAGGGCCTGAAACCTGTGTGCTCATGTCTGTCACATCATTGGTAGGCTTGCATTGTCAGGCTGTCAGTGGCAGGGTGTCAGTGGCAGGGTGCCTGAGGCAGGCGGATAAGAAGACCTACATGTGAGAGGCATGCTTGTACTATAGCCATGCTAAGAGACATATGATGTTTACAGTGACACTTTAGTGAGGCTTCCATACTTCCGAACCTTGACTAGAGCCTGGCCAACAACGAACTTGCTCTTAAACTCTGCTCAGAACAACTGTACAACTTGCGGCTATGGCCGCCGAACACTGTCTCTACCACCAGCCTCACTCTTCCTCACCCTCACATGCACGCACGTACGAGGATCACCCTGAACGTCCACGCTGCACAGACACACACACACACTCTGTACACCTTGTCTGCACCAACAGCTGGGCGGCTATGGCCGCCGTCGTCTTCCTCCTCCTAGCTATGGCTGCCGGTGTCTCTCTCTCGCTGGTTCGCTATGGCCGCTGTCTTCTTCACAGCCCACTTCTTCTCCGGGCACCTGCAGTCCTCCACGCACAAGATACCAAGGCAGCTCTTCCGCATGGCACACAGGCGAATGAATGAATGGCTGCACGCTGCCTCTTGATTTATACTTCTGTAAGTCGCTGGTCTGCCCTTTTCCACCGGGCCCATGGTGCACACAGTCCCTCATGGTACTTGCTGACTGTACAAAGTGAGACTGGGACTGGTTACTGCTGACTAAGCGAAGTTGGACTCACCACTTGCCCACTTGCTTCTGCTGTGAGGGACGTGAGAAAAACTCGAAAGGCCACTTCCGGACCTTCCGGAAGTCTGTGGACTTGACCTTTCGGGACTGTAGCAGCTACGACCTTGACCTTTCAGGACTGCTACAGCTACGACCTCGACACTACAATGACCTGTAGTCGACAGACCTACAGATCGAACCCCGACAGCTACACAGACCCACGACAGGCAACAGTCAACTACCAAAACACAGGTCACGGGTTCAAACACACAGGGGTCGACTTGATACTGTACATGGGTGTGGGAAGGTCTAGGGATCGAGCCCTGGGATCTGCATCTGCAACTGCTAAGGTGAAAATCGTTTCAGAACAATGCAGACAGCCTTCTTTTTTATTGTGCACTGTGCACCAGATCTGTGGCCGTGTTTGACTTGAGAAATCTCTGACTCTTGACCTACTTTTCTTCTCCCGAGTCTCTGACTCTTGACCTACTTTTCTTCTCCCGAGTTGGGGTGTGGCATACTGCGTAGCCACACGGGTTCCGAAACCCTGTATTCGTGCCTGAGTCTTAGGGGTGGTCGAAACAATGAGGGCCTGAAAAAGGCCCTCCGTTTCAGGCTGGAAAACCTCTGGGCCTGAAAGGCCCAGAAATAGGCTGAAACGGAGTAGCGCCTGCAGACCCTCGTTTTTTCAGCTTTCAGGCTGAAACGACCGGGGCCTGTAAGCCCTAAGTTTTAGGCTTTTAGGCTGAATGTCCCTGTTCCTCACGAGCTTGAGCAGGAGCTGCAGCTGCAGCCCCTGCCTCCCTTCGGCATTGGCAAGAGCAGCCTCCTGAACTGCTCGCACGGCTCAGGAGGCACACCCGGTAGTACATAGGAAGTTCCCATGCACTTCACGGGTAGGTAGTTGTCAGTAGGCACGGGTAGTCTTCAGGATTCGGCCGCAGCGCTCAGGAGGAGTGCTGCAGTAGTCTTCAGCGCTAGGCAGTAGTAGTAGCGCTAGCTGTAGTCTTCGGCGCTGGGCGCCCATAGCCGTAGCAGTAGTCTTCAGCGCTGGGCGCTGGTAGGTGGTAGATCGTAGAGTGGGAGGGATACTGGCGGAGGCCAGTGGTACTTACCTGTGGCGCCATCGCTCCAGCTCCATCTTCGTGGTACCTGCATCAAGGCGCCAACTTCACAGGTTAGTACTGGACACAGAGAGAGAGAGAG